GTGTGTGTGTGTGTGTGTGTGTGTGTGTGTGTGTGTGTGTGTGTGTGAGTGAGAGAGAGAGACTTGTCCATACCTGCCACTGACCTGCAGGTCAGCCAGGAGTAGCTCACTTTGCCAGATGTTCAAACGGCACACTGACCTGAGTGTGGAGGGAAAGATGGGAAGCTTGAAGCAGATCAAATGGAAAAGACAGAAACCTGAAGAATACACTGTATTTAAGATCTGAGCTCTTTCATGCCCAAATCATTTTGGCTTTCTTAGTTCTTGATTTAAGTTGAGATCTTTGGTCAGAATATGGATATTTGTGATCTGTTAAAAAGTGTCCCTGGAGTTTTCCTCTCACAAAGTAGACCCACAGAGGAGCAGAAGCACACAAATCGACAAAATGTGTGGACCGGCAAGATTAATCAAGATCATAGAAATATACGCAAACGTCCTTATTTTGTCTGCGTCACAGTTAATTCATGACACCGCAGACTGTGCAGTGTCATTGAGGTTGTATTTGTTTGAATTTGGAACAGCTCCACCAGATTACTAGTGCATGTGGGATTATTTGAGTGGTGATGGAAAGGAAGTCTGGATATTTAGAATGGCTGGCATTACTGCAGGATGCTGACACGATCCCTGATAAACGAAAGAGCAATGGAGAGAGTTTTGGGACACAAACCTGACTCGGCGGATTAGTCTACTCTGTTTGTTTCACGTCAGACTTAAACTGCACAGCAACGACAACTCTTCACATCAATATATTAGTGGTGGTAATTATGAGTAGATTATGTTTGGTTATTTCCCTAGCTCCACTATTTGCAATTTGGCATCATGCATTATGAATTTGCATCAACATGAGTGGCAAGAATAACAGAGAATCCAGCAAGGTCAACATGCAGTTCAAGATAAAAAGAATCCTTCTGTGAGCTCTGTGTGCTCTATAAATCGCCACCAAATAAATAAGACGCGGGCACTCTCAGCTCAAGCAACTGATGCCACAGTCTTCCCACCTGTGATGCGGCAATGCGCGATTGGTCGAGGCGTGCGGTGAGGTCGGAGGAGGAGACGTTGGCGGGGGCCCCGCGATGAAGCCTCATGGCCACCTTCCTCTCTCGCTCGGCTCGCTCGGCTCTCCCCGCCTGAGGGGAGCGGTTCCCTGCAAACAAAGACAAACGTTTGAACTGAGGGCCGTCAGTCTCTGTTACAGTTGCATCTCCGAAACCGCGGGCGTCACCCTGACCTGACTGCTGGACCACGCGCGTGGCCGGGTTCGAGGGAGCAGCATCCGCCTCGTTCCTGACTCTGTTGGCCGCTGAAGGGTTCGGAGCAGGCGGCAGAGCGCGACCTCCGGCTCCTCTTTGGCCTCCTCCTGCTCGCTCCTCGCCCTCTTTTCCCTCCCTCCTCTCCCTCTCTCCATCCTCTGCGGTCCTGCCGGCCCCCTGAAACACAGAGGAACAGCGCGGATGTGAATGTGTGCCGAAGAGGACCAAAATGGAAAAGGCTTTTGAACCTCCAAGCTTGAGCTAGTTGGACGAAAGCGCCACGCTGACAGTGCTCTGCTAACTGCAACTGTCCCAGAGCGGGACGGGTTTGAGTTCTGGACGAGCCACTCACAAACTTCAGCATGTTCCAGTCAAAGACGTAGTCGTAGGAGAAGCCCTGTCTGTGGAAAAGGTTCCTGAAGAGCTGCCTCAGGTAGGAGTAGTCCGGCTTGTCGTCGAACCGCAGGGAGCGACACATGTTCAGGTAAGTGGAGAACTCAGCTGGGAAGCACAAGAGAGCAATCGGAATCAGCCTAATCGCCCGAGCATGTGTGCACATATATGGAGTTTGATTCGACAAGACCGAATCATTGCAATGGTCCTCTTTAAATTGGCCTTTTCTCCGGTTTCTGTTTGTCTTTACTCACATGGGTATCCCTTGCAGAGCACCTCGATGGGCGTGGACATCTTCTTCTCGCTGATGCGTTCGTACTTCTGCCTCTTGGTGGCAGCCTTGAGGCCCTGCCAGGGCAGAGAGCCCAGGTTGAAGTACATGAGAACGTAGCCCAGAGACTCCAGGTCGTCTCGCCTTGACTGCTCTGTGGAGGAGAAGACAGAACAGAGAGAGAGAGAGGAGCGGAGAGGGGAGAGTGAGAAGAAGAAAAAGGACAGGAGGAGACAAAAAGAGAAGTGGAAGATATAAGGAAGAAGGAGAGGAAAAGACACGGAAGGAGGCTGCAGTTTGGAGAATCCAGTTCTGACCAACAAACATGCAGATCGCAACATATTCAGCTGACACTCCACAGCGGCGTTAGCAGAGCAAACATAAACTCCAGATATGTAGGCCGAGCACTGCCTGTGTGCTGCCTTACCAATGCCCAGGTGGGTGTTGATGGAGGCGTAGCGGGCGGTGCCGGTGAGGTTCTTGTTCTCACGGTAGGGGATGTGCTGGTGCGTTCGGGCGTCCCGGTATTTCTTGGCCAGGCCGAAGTCGATGATGTAGACCAGGTTGCCCTTCTTGCCGAGCCCCATCAGGAAGTTGTCAGGCTTCACGTCTCTGTGGATGAAGTTCTTGGAGTGGATGTATTCAATCCTGCTGATCTGGAACAAAGAGGTGGGGAATATGGATGGAAGATGGATTTACAGAGACCTGAACCTGGCTTGAGCAACAAAATCAATCACAATCGACGTTTCTTTGCCTTAAAGGGGTACTGCAGCAATTTAACACTGGCCTTTCATAAAGTTGGAGGACTCACAAGAGACATATTTAAACTAGAACTCTGTTGTATGCCTCTGCCAACCAGTCCTGTTGCAATTTACATCCATGTCTGTCCAAAATGTCATCACTTTATCCTATTAGGTATTTGTATGAAATTGTCATATTTAGCGTATAAATTCTTGCGTTATGGCCAGAAAACGTGTTTTGTGAGTTTGACCACCAAATTCGAATCAATATATTTAGTCAACCTTGTGTGCAAGTGATACATGTGTGTCAAATTTGAATAAATTCCCTCCAGGTGTTCCTGTGATAACGCGTTCACGAGAATGGACCGGGCTGGGTGGACAAAAAAAACAATAATGCTTCAGTTTGACCCCAAAAAATGGAAAGAAATGACATCTTTACAGTAATGGATTACCTTTCACATCTCTGCAAGTGATTCTCATAACATGTTAAAAGAAGTGGAGGTCAATGGCTGCCTATGAGGTGGTATGCTATAGAAAAGGGTAGTATTCGGTCAGTAGGTCAGTATGTCCAATTGTGGGCTACGGTCCTGTCAGTTATCAATTTGACGAGGGATTGACAGAGTTAAAGAGGGCTCGGTCTAAAACTGAAAGTGAGTTTTAAAGGCCACAAGTCTCATTGCCCAGTGAAATAATAGTTGAGCCATTGGTATTGATCAATAACCCTGTCAGCCTTTCTGTAGATATATAGAGGCCATTCAGTGTTATGAGACAGTTAAAACCTTAGTTATTGCCCCTGGAGAGGACAGGAGAGGAGAGGAGAGGAGAGGAGAGGAAAGGAAAGGAGAGGACAGGAAAGGAGAGGACAGGAGAGGAGAGGAGAGGACAGGAGAGGAGAGGAGAGGAAAGGAAAGGAGAGGACAGGAGAGGAGAGGACAGGAAAGGAAAGGAGAGGACAGGAGAGGAGAGGACAGGAAAGGAGAGGAGAGGAAAGGAAAGGAGAGGAGAGGAGAGGACAGGAGAGGACAGGAGAGGAGAGGAGAGGACAGAAGTTATAACGACGACAGCAGAAAGAGCGATTAGGAAAAGAGGTCGACGTTTTCAAAGAGAAAATGGGAGGAAAGAACAATTGTGCCAGTTGCAGACTAAAGAATGACATATGAGGGATTAAAGAGACTCATAAAAGACAGCACAGGCTTGACCCCTGCCACGAGGATTAGGCCGTCTTGCGGGGGCTGCCGCGTCCTAGATTGCCATTGACTTTTATGGAGGAGCTGAATGGTCAGAGATAGTGAGGGGATGAGCTTTGTCTCGGGCCAGGAAACAAGCGTCAGAGAATTATTCGCCGATTTTCAAATGATCCATTTTGCTCCGGTCTTAAAATAGCATCCTTTCATTGGAATCTGCGTAACTTCCAAGCCGGAGGTTGACTTCAGTGCATTATGTGCAAGCAAAGGTGCACATGCATGAACTTTAACCGCGAGCTCTTCTAGTCATGAGTTATTACTGAGGGCCCGTGTGGAAACGATGGGCTCTGGATCTGAGGATCAACCCTGATGAACTATTAGGTTTTACACACTGCGGGTCGGTCGGGCTGTCTCACCATCTGGTCGGCCAGCAGCAGGACCGTCTTCAGACTGAACTTGCGGGAGCAGAAGTTGAACAGGTCCTCCAGACTGGGGCCCAGCAGCTCCATTACCATAACATTGTAGTCGCCTTCCGCTCCGCACCACTTAATAGACGGGATTCCCACTGTGGGGAGGAAGGCGGCGGGGGGGAATCAGAGGGTTAGGAAGCAGAACAGTGCGTAATAACAGGGTTGACAATGGTTATAATCCACCCATTTACAAAACAATTTACAATACAATATATATACAGCGCATATACTATATATACTGTATATTCTCTTAACACCTCTGACTACACCTCAACACTACTGAATGGCCATTAATATCTCTCAACAACCCTGAACTGACTTCAATGCTCCTTAATTCCACTCAAAGACGCCTTTCAGTGTCCCTGAATGCACCTCAAACACCCTTAAATGTTCTGAAATCCCTCTTTAAGGTCTCTAAATGCACTGCAATGCCTCCTAAACAGCACTCCCATCATCATTTCCCTCAGCACCTCTAAATACCCCTTAGCTCCCCTTGAACTCTTCACTGCCTCTCAGTGCCTCCTAGTAAAGCATTAAAAAGCCTTAAGCACATCTTACCTCCACCCTGCATCATCTTGTAAAACTTGCTCTCGATGTGGAGCTGTGGATGTTTGGTTTTCACACATTCCAGTTTGATGGCTACTTCCTCTCCTGTAGCAATGTTAGAGCCTGGTGGGAGAAATGCCGGAGATGTAGTTACAACACATCGTGTCTTTCCAACAATGAAGATAAAGGACCCATATCGGGTCACAAACAGTCCAAATTCTCACCGAGGTAAATATCTCCAAAGGATCCGCTCCCTATCTTCCTCCCAAGGCGGTACTTGTTCCCCACCCTCAACTCCATGGCTTCTGAGCTTTTCAACACACTGAGGGAGTAAACACACACACAAACACACACGGAGCTGTCATCAATCAGTGGTGATCAATATAGTACAAGGACAGTGGTGCAAACTGCAGACTTTACACTGAAAGCTATGAACCCTGGGGCGGCTGCATGGTGGAAGGAAATGAAACTGGAATCTTGAGGGAAAAAAAATGAAAAAATCAACGGCAAGGATGAGAAAGAATGAAAAGTGTGAATTACTGAGGCACGGCAGTGACGTAGTGCAGCCTGAGTTACTGGAACTGTAAAAGGAAAATGTTGTTCCACAGTTGCAGTTATGAAGTGACTTTATGTGACTGAAGCCACTGCGGAAGCAAAAGATTTTCAAGACTTCAGGGTCTCATGTCGCCACCCTGCTCCTGTCTGACATGTTCTGTTGAGTTAGAGTCGACTCAGAGGACGACAATGCAGGCCAATAAAGTGTTTATAAAGTGCACGGGCCTGCACTGCTGTCCTCTGAGGAAAACCAAGCGTGTAGTTGTATAACATGATTTATTCAGAGCTGATTGGGGGGGGGGGGCGGGGCTGGATCAGCATCTTACTCCATCTTCCCAAAAGCACTCTAAGGGGAGTCTGGTCCTGTGTACAAGTGATTTGCACAAACTCTCCAAATTGTCGAATGAGTCATGTTTTTCCTCATCCGAGGCCCCGTGTGTGTCTGAGCGGCCATGGAACAGGGATTTAAAAGTGGGAAATGACTGAGGTTAGGCTTTACAAGGCAGTTTGACAATGCACTTAACGCTGACTAAGTTATTTTATTTTATTTTATGGTCTTGGCTGCGTTGTAGACCTGTACACGTTCCTGTCCACATACACTGTGCAGGGGGAAATAAAGCAGAGCGAGCCACTGCTGCACATTACCAAACCTCAGAGCTCCACTGCCAGTGTTACAGAACGGAGACCCGCTGCTGCTGCAAAGGACTGCAACAAAAACAAACACGCGAGACGACGTATATTTTTCAGAGAGAATACTTCATGCAGTTGCCCCAGATAGCACAGGAGACGGAAGGGGGAAAAACACCCAAAACACACACCGTTTATCCCGCACTGACCATCAAATGTGGGAATAATTCCCATAACCGCACCCCTCCACACACAGGTAGGACCTCTGAACAAGCGCACCCC